CTCTGTGATCTTGTAAAAATACCAGCCACTTTTTGAACCACGTCTTTAACTGAGGATGGTGGATTCATGGTTCTCCCCAAGTTTAAAAGACAGGGTATTTAGAGGACTGGCCCAATTTACAGTGGCTTGGTGAGGAGTGGAGCCCACCAGGTCTGGCCTCTCAGCTCACAGTCTGTCCACCATTGGGCACCAGGCTGGGGAAAAGGATCAATTAAGTAAGGTGTAGGTATATCAAAACCAAGCACAAAGCTGGTCCCGGCCTGGCTGAAGCTCGGTTAGTAACAGGTCTCTTTTCAGAAGGCCCCTTTAGGGGTGGTGATATTCAGTCTGGACTTGGAGAGTCTAAGGCTGTACTGATGAGGGTGACAACCTTCTCACTGGTGTCTGCTTTGCCAGCCATTTGTCTTTGCTCTTCCCAGACACTTGCTCATTCATCTCTCATGATAACCCCACGAGGTAACTCTGGAGATGATCCCTAGGTCTGCATCCCACCTCCCAGAAGGACCAGCCATGTGGCCTGGGTCACATCCCCTGACTTCCTAAGTCTGACTTCCTCCTCTGGAAAATGATGAGAAAATCTAGAAAACAGCCCCTACCTGGAACCTAGCGAGGTTGGATCAGATCATATCTCTAAAGCCTGTAGCATGGGGCCTGCCTGGCACAAAGCCAGAGCTTGAGAGACCATTTTCTATTTTTATGAGCCATGTAATAAATGCCCAGTGGATGTCTCTTGGCCAATTCTCTGCTTGTTCTAGATCATTTTTCAGGTCATAGCTTGCTGAACTGTCCTGTGATCACTGGAACATATTTGTCTTTTGTGGAGAGAGATAGGGTGGCCCGTCCAGTGAGCAGAACAGCTGGGGAAAGGCTAGATGTTCGGTAGCCAGGCTAAAACCTGGGTTAACCAGAGGGCCAATACAGATCCAGAGAAAACGTTGACTTCAACAGAGTCTCCAGAGTTGGCTCTGAGAGTGGCTTTAATTAACGCTTTTGAACAGGTGATGACACTCGATGGCTGGCGCCCTGCTCGAGGTGGGGAGATACGTGGAGAGTTCAGCTTGATTTCCCAGGATGATCGGGAATGCAGGTGTGGACACGGGCCCTGCCCCAGCGCCTGTCATCCTCTTCTGGGCCCTGAGCCGAACTACGGCTCAGAGGAGGAGGAGTTCCCAGGAAAGGCATCAGAGAGAGGGAGCTTCTTGCAAGTTGTCAGGATTCATTCCCTATCAGAACACAGTTGATGGTTGCTTTCAGAGGCCTGGGCAGTAAGGGGACGCTGATGCCTTCCAGGTTCTTGCTGTGGGTGGGAGATGGTCCGTAGGTTATGTCCCCTGAGGGGTGGAGGAACCAGCATACCTGCCATCAGCCTCGGATGGCCCGGGGTGGGAGAGCCTCCTGCCCAACAACAATGATGGGTCCCACTGTGCGGGTCTCAAGACCCTGGTGACTCTCAAGACTGTATAGATCAAAGATGGTGCAGTGGTTTACAGTGAAAGGGGATGCTGTTAAGTACAGTCCATGCTCATTATCCGCGGATTCCATATTTGCAGCTTGCCTGATCGGCATGTTATTTGTAGTCCCCAAATCAGTCCTTACACGGTCATTTGCAGACATGCAGAGTGACAGAAGACTTGAGTGTCTAACTCACAAGTTCCAGCCGAGATGGAACAAAGTGATGACCGTCTTCTTGTTTCGCTTCTCATACTGTCCACAAGTGTTCTTTCGAGGTCTTGTTAGCGTGCTTGCTTTTAGCATTTTTCTGCTTTTTCCTTGGTAATCTCGCTATTTAAAATGACCCCTAAACACAGTAGTAAAGTTCAAGAAGGCTGTGATGTGCCCTACAGCAAAAGTACATACATTAGATAAGCTTTGTTCAGGCTTGAGTTACAGTGCTATTGGCCCAGAGTTCAATGTTAATGAGTCAACAATATATATCAACTATAGGGTCTTTAGACAGAAACGCACATAAAACAAGGTATCTGTTGATCAGCTGACAAAGAATGTGACCATGAGTAGGAACCCAAACGCATGTTTCCCATAGGAGGAGTAATTCAACTTTTGCTAATTCAGTGTTTGTGGTGACTTTCTAGAATGGAACTACTGTGAATAATGAGAATCAACTGTATTACCTTTGATCAATAGGAATAAGCCTGATCATGTCATCACTCAAGACCTAACACAAAGCCACCTCTTCCAGGAAGCCTCCCATGGTCTCTCCAGCCTTCAGAGATCTTTCTCTGACCCCATCTTGCCCCACAATATGTATTACATTTACCATGGATTTGACATGTGACATCAACTGCAAGACATTGTCATTTTCCCCACACGTTTATCTTACTGAGTGACAATGGCATGAACTCCTTGAAAGCTGGCACTGCGTCTGTTAAAACTCTGGACTCTACTCATGGTACTGTGTGTTTGATTCTTTCTGCAAATACTTGATTGATTAGTTTGATTTGCATGTTGGAGTTTTATGGACGAATAAATGCAGGGCTGAGTGAAGGAAGGAAGGAATGATGTGCACACTGAATACCAGGCACCCACGGGAGGCAGTGATGGTGCGAAAGTCCCAGGACACAGAGACCTGGATGCTGCCGTTGTGGGGAGCAGAGACGAGGCCCCCCCCCCATTCTAGGATGGGCAGAGCGGGTCAGGGGAATTTGACGAGTAGGTGGAGGAGGGCAGGAAGGGTGTTCCAGGCAGTGCAAAAACCGTATGTGCAAAGGCCCAGAGGCAGGTGAGCAGGCGTGTTAGGAGGCAGTGAGGGGGGAGAGAGGAGATGAGGAGGGGACAGGTGGGTGGGCCAGGCCCCCGCGGCCTTGGGTCTGCACGCTGAGGAGTCCGGCATTAGGAAGGGCCTCATTAGGAAGGTCAAGCACTCAGGGGGTTGCGGTTAAATGTGACGCTTTCATCCTCCGTTCGCTCAGCAGCACACATGTAATTCAGAACGGGTGTCTGCCCTGTGCTGGTCAGTGGGTCAGGGACGGAGGCCCCGTGCTCTGGGTCAGTGCCGGGGCCCTCGGGTGCTCAGGCCCAGGAGGGCGAGACGCAGACACGTCAACTCGTTCCCCAGCCCCACCAGCGGGGCCAAACCAGGTCCTCAAGCAGGCCAAGGTCGTGCCTTTCCGTCAGCTCCCAGCAGCTCCACCGGAGCCGCGGCCCTGCCCTTGCTTCCTCCCAGATGGTTCCTGAAACCCCGGAGGGTCTGGGCAGAGGTGGGCATGGGCCGGGCTCCCAGGTCCTGCGAAGGGCACGCTCTGGCAGCCGCTGCGCTGGCCCACACTGCGCTTCCTCCCCGCTCTGAGGTCCAGCCCGGGTGCGGGCAGCCGGGGCACGCCCAGCGTCCCAGCTCCCAGCTCGGGCCTGCGTCACAGCCACACAGGGTCGCCTCCCTCCGTCCTGCCCCAGGAGGAGCCGCCCGGGTCCTGCTCCTTTCCCAGCCCCGTGGGCCTGTGTCCATGCTTCCGGGTCCAGCAGCCACCCCTGAACACAGCTGCACACACACACACCACAGACACACACACACATGGGTGCACACTCACAGACACACACACCACAGGCATACACACACATGCATACACACAGACACACATCAGAGACATACACACATGCATGCACACAGACACACACACCACAGACACACACATACATACATACGTGCTCACAGACGCACACACCACAGGCGCACGCACACACACATCAGAGACATACACATATGCATACACACAGACACACACACCACAGGCACACGCATACATACATACGTGCTCACAGACGCACACACCACAGACACACACATACATACATACACACAGACACCCATCAGAGACATACACACATGCACACACACTCACAGACACACACCACAGGCACACACACACATGCATACACACAGACACACATCAGAGACATACACACATGCACACACACTCACAGACACACACACCACAGGCACACACACACATGCATACACACAGACACACATCAGAGACATACACACATGCATGCACACAGACACACACACCACAGACACACACACACACATGCATACACACAGACACACATACCACAGACACACACACACATGGGTACACACTCACAGGCACACACACATGCGTACACACTTACAGACACACACACTCACAGACACAGACACACACACATACATACATACACACTCACAGGTAAATACCACAGACACACACACACGCATACACACTTACAGACACACACACGTACATATACACTCGCAGACACAGACACACTCACAGACACACACATCATAGACACACACACATACACACTCATAGACATAGACACACATGCATATACACTCACAGACACACACACACACCACACAGACACCCTACACATGTACGATTAACACATAAACCATATACACAAATACACACATACTGCACACACCACCCAAACATGTCACCACTCCCCACACACATACCACACACACCTCATATACAAACACACACACTGTACACAAACATCCACACACATCACATGCCCTACACTACCTGTACACAGCCAGCGTACCACACACACTGCGTATACACACATGCAGACACACCACATGCATTACCCAACCAGACACACAGAACAGCCACATGTGGCATATCCTCTCCACACAGGCCACACATCTACTGCACACACAGCACAAATCATACACCCACGCACCACACGCACATCACCACTCCCCCACACCGCACACCACACACATCCGATACAAACACACATGCTCTAGACAAACACCCATACATATCACATACCCCACCTGTACACCTGTACTCACACACCCCGCGCCTGCCACACACTGCATACTTGTACACACCGCACACCCCTTACACACATTCCTACCCCCAAACAAACACACATGCCCCTACACCACACCCACACACCATACACAAATACATGCTTACGACACACACCACCCCCACACACCACATACACACATAGTACACAGATGCACATGTGAGATGCCCTGTTACCTGGTGCTTGGGGCCAGGCCCCACATGCTCCCTGTCTGCCCAGACGTGTTTCCTACCAGCACTGTCTTTCTCGTCTCTCTGATCTTCATTCTGGGTCCCTTGGCTGGAGGCTCCCGTCAGCACTTGTTAAGATCAGCCGGATGGGCATGCCCCATGCCAGGCTTGACATCACGTCTTCCCTCCACAGGAGACTCTTTGCGGGCATCCAGTGAACCATGCACACTTCTTTCCGTCTTCTCTGGGCATGAGCCCATCCCCAGAATCTTCTTCATCCCACAGACATAGAGACTAGGCTGGCTTTCCCCCCAGCCCTTCATCTTCGAGCCTTCTGTTCAGAAAGATGGAAACGTGGCCCCTCCTGTCGGAACACGGTTGTCAAGGCAACAACACGCTTCCTTGGAGTTCTAGCAAAGGAGGGAGGATCTTCTGCCCCTCTTGGGGCAGCGTGACTATTAGAACAGAAGAAAGAGCTCCAGTTGAAGGCATGCCCGTGGCACGACTGCCGCGTGTGCTGGCTTTATAATTCTTACCCCGACACGCCCCACACACCAGGGCCAGCGGTATTACTTTAGTCATTGTGCAGGTGGGAAGGAGACTCTCAGAGCATCTGTTGGTTTGTTAATGCTGCCTCACACAGTACCACAGGTTGGTGCTTTAATAGCAGAGACGTATTTGCTCACCGCTCTGGAGGCCGAGTCCAAGATCAGGGTTGGTTCCTCCTGAGACCCACGATGGTGGGGTCTGTTCCTTAGGTGTAGATGGCCTCTTCTCCATGTGTTCATGTCGTCTTCCCCGTGTGTGTGTAAGGACCCCAGGCCTCTTGGGTTTGGACCTACCCTAGTGACCTCATTTCAACTTAACTGTCTGTGTGAAGACCCCATCTCTAAGTACAGTCAACTCCAATATCCCAAGGGGTTAGAAGTTCAACATACAAATTTCTGAGGGAACACAATTCAGCCCATCCCAGAGAAGGTAGGCAAATTACCCTTGACCTCACAGCTGGCTGGTGGAGCTAAGAGAGAAACCAGTATCTCCCAGAGGCGAAGAGCTTGCCAGGTCAGAGCACAGCCACCAGCAGTCCTCTGGGAGAGGACTGTCTCCTGGTTCTATGGGGGTGGCTGAGGGTGGGGTGGGCGCTTTGATGGGAAAGGATGGAGCGGATAGCACCTCCCCAGCCCCCTGATGATGCCTGTATATCCTTAACTCTGGGAGTCGCCCACATTTCAACAGGAAGGGTCAGGCATGGAGACTGTTCTTTCTACTGCACATACCCACAGGTACATGGAAGACAGGAAGTGATTTGGGGATCAAATTCTAGTTCTGGAACTCTTGCACGCGTCCAAGCCTCATTTCTTCATTGGTGAGATGGTGATGATAAGACCTGCCTGTTAGGACTGTTGGTGGCAAGTGACAGAAGCCTAACTGGAACGAATCTGTGCACAAAAGGGAAGGAGACTGCTTTTGTTTTGTTTTGTTTTTTTCCATTTATTTTTATTAGTTGGAGGCTAATTACCTTACAATATTGTAGTGGTTTTTGCCACACATTGACATGAATCAGCCATGGATTTACATGTGTTCCCCATCCCGATCCCCCTTCCCGCCTCCCTGCCCATCCCATCCCTCTGGGTCTTCCCAGTGCACCAGCCCTGAGCACTTGTCTCATGCATCCAACCTGGGCTGGTGATCTGTTTCACCCTTGATAGTATACTTGTTTCAATGCTGTTCTCTCAGAACATCCCACCCTCGCCTTCTCCCACAGAGTCCAAAAGTCTGTTCTGTACATCTGTGTCTCTTTTTCTGTTTTGCATATAGGGTTATCGTTACCATCTTTCTAAATTCCATATATATGTGTTAGTATACTGTAATGGTCTTTATCTTTCTGGCTTACTTCGCTCTGTATAATGGGCTCCAGTTTCATCCATCTCATTAGAACTGATTCAAATGAATTCTTTTTAATGGCTGAGTAATATTCCATTGTGTACATGTACAGGAGAGTGCTTTTGGATTTCAAGAAAGAGGAGCCAGACCCACCACTGGCAAGGTCGGGTTGAGGCTGAGCCCCAGGAGGAGAGGAATCCAGGGCTTGAATGCCACCAACTGTTTTGTTCTTCTCTGCATTTTGACTAAGTCTCCCTTCTGCTCTAGACCAGCTTTCTCCACCGAGTGGGAAACGTGCTGTCCATGAGCCCCCAGGTTTATGGCATTCAACTCTGATCCGTTCCCTGAGGCCTAACCCATGCACCCTGAACCTCTGCACCCAGCCCCTACTGGCTGCAGGAGGATATGACTGCCACTTCATGGCTGGTAATTGCCATTTGATGCAGTCGCTATGGTGAATTTTCTCAGTTTTGATTTTTTATGCTTCCCTCTGGGGTTCCTAAGCTCCCCACTGACCTCACCTGTGAGAGGGTTTCCTGTTGTGTGGGAACTTCTCCACGACTCCCACCCCACGACAGGTCCCCGTTCCAAAATCCTTTGTTCCCCTTTTCATCTTTATCCTTTGCCCTGCCTCCTTCCGAGGAGATTGGTTTGCTTTTCTGGACATCTGGGGTCCTCCGCCGGCCTTCAGAGGTTGTTCTGTGAAAGTTGTTCCATGTGTAGATGGTCTTTTGATGCGTTTGTGGGGAAGAAGGTGGTCTCCCTGTCTGTTCCTCCACCATCTCGGGACGTCTCCTCAATCAGCCAAGTTAATACGTCACCACTTCAGTCATGGGAGGAACACCCCCAATGTGCTGTGTAGCCCCAAGTCCACAGTCCCCAGGGAAGTAGCTCACGGGCAGAGCTGGCCTCCCATGGCCTCTAAGCCAATCTGCTGGCCAAAGAGTTTGTTTGCTGAGCCCTGAAGAGTTGATGCTTTTGAACTGTGGTGTTGGAGAGGACTCTTAAGAGTCCCTTGGACTGCAAGGAGATCCAGCCAGTCCATCCTAAAGGAAATCAGCCTTGAATGTTCATTGGAAGGACTGATGTTGAAGCTGAAACTCCAATACTTTGGCCACCTGATGCGAAGAACTGACTCATTTGAAAAGACCCCGATGCTGGGAAATATTGGAGGCGGGAGGAGAAGGGACGACAGAGGATGAGATAGTTGGATGGCGTCACTGACTCAATGGGCATGAGTCTGAGTCAACTCCAGGAGTCAGTGATGGTCAGGGGGGCCTGACGTTCTGCAGTCCACGGGGTTGCAAAGAGTCGGACACGACTGAGCGAGTGAACTGACAAACTCTTTGGCCAACTCAAAAACTGAGCAGAGAGGGTCAGAGCAAGGTGGCTCCACACCGCTTAGAGCCATGTTGCGGGGGCAGGAGGAGCGAGAGGGCAGTCTCCAAAAGAGTTTGAAACAGAGTTTGAACGCACCATCGTTGGGAAAATTAAACAGGATGATGGTGAGGACTCAGCCGACTGCCTGACTCCAGAAATGTTAGCTCTCTTCTCCCTCACCCGCCATGAAGTGATGCCAGTGAATTGGAAGAGACTAATTTGAATTAATGAGGTGTGTTCCAATATTTTAAACACTTAAGCACATAGTTACTCTATTAGCAAAACATTTTCAGTGGCTCCTGCTGGGTCTTTGTCAATGAATGGATGCCTTATTTACAGTTGGCATCCTTCACAACCAAGAGAATGACTTAGAATCTATTACTTGAGTAGGACAGAGAGGGAAAAGCGAATGAAAGCGGTAACAAATAGCTCCTCGTCTAGACGCAGCTGGCAGCAGGTCCCCGACAATTGTTTCATTGGGTGAGCAAAGCATAAATCATCTGTTTTCCTCTCGCCTCAGCCTTGGTTTACTTCTCAGATTCTAATTGGCGTCCTGCAACCCAGGATGAAAGATCGCACGTTCTAATTCAAGGAAATCCACAGGAATAATGACCTTGTTGTGTATTTGGTCCAAAGGAACCCCTTGGGTGGCATTCATGGCTCTCTCCCCAAGCCTTCCCCCCTACTTTGTAGAATAATTTTATTTATTAATTTTTTTTTTATTGGCTGCGCTGGGTCTTCTCAGACCAGGGGGCAGCAGGGGGCGCTGCTCTCCAGTTATGACGTGAGGGCTTCTTGCTGTGACTTCTCTTGTTGTGGAGCGGGGGCTCCGTGGTTGTGGTTCCCGGGCACGAGCTCAGTAGTTGAGGTGCACAGGCTAGTTGCTCCGCTGCACGTGGGATCTTCTGGGACCAGGGATGGAACCCGTGTCTCCTGCACGCAGGCGGATTCTCCACCACTGAGCCGCCAGGGAAGCCCGCCGTCCCCGTTTTTGCCCTGTTCCCCCTGCCAGGAGCTGGGGGCTGATGGGTCTCAGAACCGCCCCTTTGTTATGGGTCAGGCCCCAGTCTTCTCTGTCCTCCTGCAGGGAAGGCCCCTCCTCCCCCTTCCCTTTCTGCTGACCTGGGACCTCCAGGTTCCTGCTTCAGCTCCCCCGCGACCTGGGAAGTTTCTGAGTGGATGCTGCCTTCAGCACGAGAGCCCTTCTCCTGGCATTGAGTTTCTCTGTGCCGGTGGGGTGCTGGCCAAGCCCCATTTGTTTTTGGGAGTTTTTCTCTCCTGTCAACACAGACGCCCATTATGTGTCCAGTGCACTGATCAGTTTCACTCTGAAATGAACACGTGAAGGAACGTCCAGCCAGGAGACACCTGGTCATTTCAGTGTCTTGAGTGAGTGACATTTAAATGAGATGGATGGGAAGAGAGGGGTTGAGCCCTCACTGGGTACATGCCACCACTTGCCACATGCCCGCCTGGGGCCATGGCAGGTGAGGCATGCTCTAGGGCTTTCCCAGGGAGCCACCGAACTCATCAAGAAAATGTTTTCTAAGCGTGAAGCCCGGCAGTACTCTGTTGAATCACAAAGACCCTGATTGCCATTTTCTCAGGCAAGATTCACTGTGCCTGACACCACCAGGAGAAAGCTCCTTCCCGTGAGCACTCATGATGCAGGTATAGTTCTTTTGTCAGTCGAATTTGGCTTAATACAGTGTGGGAGCTCCGTGAGGACCTTCCTGACCCGTGTGGAGGAGTGGGTGGTGGGGACTCAGTGGAGGGCGCCTGCGGGGAGGAAGGTCTGGGGGCCTCGCTCCCTCGAAGGCCATCCGTGTAACTGCCTTGGTCTGTGTAACTGCCGTATGTCCCTTGGTCCAGAACCTGGGCTCTGGAGCCTGACCTCCTGGGCCCAGATTGCAGTTCTGCCCACTTGTCAGCTGTGTGACTGAAGGCAACTTATTTACCCTTGCTGTGCCTCAGTTTTCTCATCTGTAAAATGGGGATAATCATAGTGTTTGCCTTGGGCTTCCCTTGTGGCTCAGCTGGTAAAGAATCCACCCACAATGCAGGAGACCTGGGTTCAGTCCTTGGGTTGGGAAGATGCCCTGGAGAAGGGAACGGCTACCTACTCCAGTACTCTGGCCTAGAGAACTCC